AGAAAAATAAGACTGGAGAAATGATTAATGTAACATTAAAATGAAAAACTTCTTAAACCATAAATACAGACACAAATTGATAAAAATGAAAGAGCGTAATATAGTGAGCACTAATACTGTCTTCACAAAATTTATGATATCAGAGGCCTCTTAATACGTCAGAATCTTAATGAGGCTCCCAAAACTCCTAGTTAGGTCTACACTCAGCTTTACATTGGTCTCCATGCTTGCTGGTTACAAAGAGGGTAGATTTGTCATCTGTAGATTAAATCCTCTGTGAGTCTTTAAAGAGAGAATGCAGTTTTTGAGCTCAGATCCTAGGAGGCATTAGTGGTAACAATATTCATGAGAACTGGAAATAGAAAGACACTTTCAGTGGTGATGTGATACAAGGAGAGCTAGTGGAAAACGAGGCAACACCTGCCTTCAGAGGATATGCCACAGAAAAAGATCTTAAGAAGAGGTAAGTTTGGAGGTTGGTAATTATTGAAGAAGATAGCGAGGCAGAAGCAAATGTTTTAGAAAATCAGGTGCAAGAAGGAATATAGAAAGAGTAAAGCCACAGGAACCTGAGAGGGAGTGGGAAATAGTGAATGGTTTTGAGTTGCTACTGAAGAAGCCACTATCCCTGGAATGAGAAGACTTGCATGAGTGCTGGAAAAAGTAAATATAAATTACTTTTTATTATATTATCAATATAATATTTATATAATATATTATATAATTGTAGGATAATAATTATGATAAATATTAGATAAATATTAAGATTTAAATAGCCAAGTTGGTATAAGCAATAGCAAGTTTTTCTCTATATGCTGAAGATAAAGCTTATGCTAACTGAGAGGAAAGTACTGAATTGCTCATTGAAATGATGATAAAAAGAAAAAAATCCTACAAAAGCTCAGGAATGGAACATTTGACACAATCATCCAAGAATCTTCTGCCAATAATAAACTAACTTTCTCTGAGACTCAGAAAGTAAGTAGGAATGGGATTAATTTAATAATACTTTGCAGCTCTATATAAAAATAAAAATTAAAATAAAAAAAAGTTGTGTTTAAACCATTGAAGAAAATAAAAGTCCATGAAGAAGATTTGGGACATGGCAACAGTTGAATAATTTGATGGCTGAGAAATTGTAAATGTCTGGAATACTTGCTCCTGGCAGTGGCAGTTGAACTTAGCCTGAGTTAAATGTCAGAAAATAAGCACATGACCCCATTGGGATTGTGGGCCACATGTTGCTAGTGATGTTGGAAAAGCAGGAGCAAATGGATTTATTATGAACCCTTAGTCTAAAGGTCTAGAGTGGTGCACAACTAAGGACCCAAAGAAGTTAAGAGTGTTGGTAGTTAACTGATTATGTATCTGTACTGTGAGGTTCACCTTGAAGATATCTGGACTCCAAAGGAAGGAAGAGATTGTAAACAACAAATGCAACTCGAACTGAAGATCTGCTTTGGGAAGAAAATGCTTGTGATGTCAAAGAAGTGAAGGCTAAAGAGATCCACTGAGACGGTCATGCACAGACATCACCACTACAGAACAAAAGCTGAGTAGCTTGTGTGTGCTGGGCTGAAACGGCAAGCAAACCTATGCTGAAATCAAGAGAACCACCAGAGACCAAGCATTTGAGGGCATTTGTGCTGAAATAGCCAAACTCTATCTCAAAAACAAAAATATTCTAGAGAAAGAATATTTATAGATGATGGTTATGCTGAGAAAATATTTGGAAGAGTGATTCACAAATCAAGTAAAGATGAACACTAGCAGTACTAGGGAAAAAAATTGATTTTCCAATAGGCTTAGCTGTTTTCTAACCAAGATGTTGAAAACTCCCCAAATTTAAGTAACATGACAAATTTGAAGTTTTTGAAACAAAGTTTATAAGAAATAGATAATCTCTGGAACACAAAAATACCTTCAATATTAAATTTCTGTAGCACCAAATGTGGTAGGAATGCACAATATAGTCTTCTATACAGAGGAAAAAACATTATAACAATTTGAAAATCTATCCTTTCAAATTGGAATGAAAAGGAATGGATGTGTCAGAGAAATAAAACTTTCAGAAATCATGAAGTTATGTATACATACAAGAAAGTAACCTCCCAGCTTTCACTCTAACTCTGTAACTTAAATGCACATAAGTCATTTTGACTGCAGGAAGTTTTACTCTGAGTTTGGTACACTTTACTAAAGTTGTATTGACTTTGCCATGATTACACTCTACATTTTCAATAAAATTAAATATTTTGATACTTTTTTTGCCTGAGAAATTCCTTAAGTAGTTTGTAAAAAATATGAAGAACAAATGCAAAGATGTCACAAATTTTAAGGAAGCTACGTAGGAATCATCTGGTACATTATCTTTGCTTTTTTACACATTTTCTAATATGTCTTAAATACATCTTTAAAATATGCATTTCATTTAAATAATCATCCCTAGAAATTTTAACATCATAAGAATGGAACATTAAGATTACGTGTTTTTATTAAAAGTGACTTCATGGACTGCTATGAAACCATAGAATTCAAGCTGATAATTATTTGACTTTTGCCATTTAAATCACTATTGAGGAAATGGAGTGAAAGATTAAAAATGATTTGATACACTTACACTGCTTAACAACAAACAATTTATATGAGTCAGAAGAAAATTGCACCTGTCTTCTTAATAGCAGGCTGGGCTTGTGAATTATTCAGATGATGTGCTTGATGCAGACGCTTACTGACCAAAGCTTACATTGAGGCTTTCACATAGAACCCGAGGGAGGAAGAGTTTGTATTCAATGAGAATACCATTATTATCAATTCATCCCAAAACTTGTTCTATTCACTGACTTCTGCTTTGACAAATAAATTCCTGGCATCTTCTTTTATTTGTTATATTGTGAGAATTTAGTCTCAAGGACAATTTTTCAACTGTTACCGATGATTGAAAACAAGTGGTTGTAATGAAAGTAGATTTGCAATCTTCACTCTAGCACTTAACAATTTTGAATGCTGTAATTATGGAAGCATCCATGTGTGAGCTTTTGTAACATATTATAACAGAAGATTACATTCCTGGATAATGTCTAAAAATATGACTTTTCTCCCTTTTCTATCCAGTATTCCAAATTACAGTTTAACTAAAAACATCTCAATGAGCATTAAGAAGTAATTGTCCATTGAAAGTAGCATGGGAGTGTTTCTGTGGCCACCAATGTGTTGTTCTATATTTGTCTCCAAGTACATGAGTTTTTACTTCGGGGGAGATATGAGGTGTTGTAGTGGGATGATGTTCCACATACGCATACATCAACACAGTGTACATACTCTTAGGCAGGTAAGCTGAGGTTTGGATACTTTAACTATTAGATGCTTTGCAACATGACACTTTCAAATTTCACACTATAAATATTTACTCTAGTACCAATCACTGTCAAAAGGAAAGTGTGGTACTACCGCAAGGTTTGTCAGAGAATGACGAGCTCATGTGCATGCTATCATGGAGAATGATTGGATGAATATTAGACTTCTTTCTCATTAAGTTTCTGCAGGCAGTGATCATTTATATTGTTCTCTTACTCACTAATGTGTTTAAAAGGGGAATTCAAAGACACAGTTAATAGGGAAGCTAGAAACCATCTGGTATAGAAAGCCTGAAATTCCCATGTGCCAAATGCTGGAAAATAATGCATTGCTGTTGCTGTTTTTAGTGTGCATACCTTAAATTCTTGTTTTTGTTTTCATAAAATTCTCTGAGGAAAAATGGAAATTCAAGTAGTTTAAAAGATAGTGAGAAAAAAGAAACTATGACTTACCACACGTTCCTGTGTACTGAAATTCTGGGGCAGAGACTCAGAATGTTCATCTTATTGAGGCTCAACTTGTGTATGTAGCAGGATTCTACCTTGAGAATATTCCAGTCTGTTAACAATGGATGTGCAGCCACTGCCTGTCTGCCTGTATTTTGTTGTTGTTTGTCATCCCTTGTAGAAAAACACATTTTAATTGCTTCCAAACTTTTATTAGTAAACACATGAACCATGTGGTAGAATTGAAAGAAGTCCAAAACTGAAATATGAAAAATTAGGTAGAATTTTATCTTCCCAATTGGAATGCCTATTGTTTTACTCCTTTGACCAAGAACATGCTCCAGCTTCTCCAAAGAGCTCCCAGGCTCTTTTCAGATGACAGTAGTCCTCATAAGGTCACCACACATGCAAACCCAGCATTCCAAGTGCCATGAGTAGGCTGTGCCATCTGGTGTCATTAAGAACCAGAAAGCAATGTTCACTGGGGAGCGCAATCAGACACTTTATATGGCTGCAGCTGTCTTACTGCACTGTGGGCTCCTGCCATCATGGCTACAGGAACTGACATGACTCTTAGAATCATGTGCATTCCTAGAAGAGGATGGTGTCTCACACACAGTCTCCTGCCTCATACCTCTCCCTATGCTGCTGTGCTGGACAGCTGGCTCCAGTATTTGGCAGATAGACTCAGAGCACAATAAAGTCTAGGCAATCAACATTGTTTCTTTGCTTCATTTCTTATGGATCTTTATGTTCCAGAAAGTTTTATCTAATCAACTTGACTGTCTTATTTCTTTTGCAGCTCAGCCACTGGCAAGTCACAAAGACACCAATATTTATTATTTGCAGTTCATCCTATGGCAAAGCCTCAGTTCTCTGCCATCATCAGGTTCCAACAGTCCAGACATGGCCTGAGCTTTGGGAAGACATCACTGATCAATTATATAGAGAGAGCTTTGAGATACAGATATGAAGAATCAAGGACAGAGAATACATAGAGAAATGATATGTTGGAAGAACAGACCACATCTAATTTCTCATTATGAAATCTAAGAAAGTGAAGAAATTTCCCTTAGAATGACAGTACTTACAATGAAAGTCAAAAATTTTCCATGAAAATAGTTGATGAGGGAAAAAAAACTCAGAAATTAAAATATTTTGGAGTTTCTATTGGCTCAAATCCCAAGCCACAATGTATTAAACTATGGGTTTTGGGGGAGCCTGGCTGTACTTCTGCAGGATAGCTATTACCCCTTCTGTTTCTCCAACTCCTTCTTTTCCTATTCCTTCTTCTTCTCTGTCCAGATGAAGCTCTAATTTTCTACTGACAACAGATTAAGATTAACATTTATGACAACACCAATTAAAACACCCACAATAAATTTCCAGAAAACATGAAACACATTTCTAATTTCTACTTTTATTTCTGTTTTGCAAAAAATATCTTCATTCAGACTAAATGGGCCTTTCTTCTGCTCATTTTGTAGTTTTTAGGGTGTAAACTAAGGACCTTATGCATATTGGTCAAGCCCTCTGTCTCTGAACTACATAGCCAAGTGTTTTACTCATTATTTATACCTCTCATCCACTCCTCAAAAGTGACCTTTCTCTGATAGTCAACACTGCAGATGGTTAGGTAGAACAGTAATATATTCTATTTTTTAAAATTTGGATAGAGTTAAGAATTCAGCAGACCATGTATAAGATTGTTATATTTTTATAATTAAGGTCATTGTTTAGAAATTTGCAGAGTGGATATTGGTGTTTATTTGACCAAATATTTTCAAGTAATGGAAACCCAGTGGCAATGGCTTATGTCAAACAGGCAGGTGAATGTAATGTAAAGGAAGCAAATTGGAAAGTTGGAGGTCTCCAGGTGTTTCTCTTTGAACCTGCTATAGGAACACAGCATAAAGTCTCAGCAACAGCATGAGGATGGCATCAGAGAAGAAATGTTGTTCATTTATTTTCTCAAAAATCATCATTTTTTGTTCTCTCACCTGCTTTGTTCTCTTATCTTTCAGTTTCTCATTCCAGTGATAAGCTGAACCAGTCACTCCAATGACAAGCATAACTGGTCCCTCTGATCCATTAGTGTTTTTCAAGAAGCCAGTCAAAATAAACTGGAGTCCCTTAGCTCGTAGGTAATTCATGATTTTACGGTTTGAATAGGAACCACCCCCATGAGTTAAGAACCATTCAAAACTTTAAGAGGTGCAGCTTAGTGGAAGAAAGTATCTTAGAAGGTTGCATTTGGTGTCCACTCAATTCTTGTCTAACTCCTGTCCACAAAAAGATGAATAGCCTCCAATATTTGATATAATGATGTTCTGCTTCAGTGTGGGCACAGCAGGCATATAGCCACAACTATGGACTGTAACCTCTGATACTGTAAGCTAAAAAGTATTTTTACCCCTTAAGTTGTTTATATCAAATATTTGTCACAGTTACACAAAGTGAGTGACAGAATGCTTAATCTAAGTACCAGCAATTCCTGAAAATATGAACACCAATCTCACCCCTGTGACAGATCGAGTCAATGGCAAGAAAATGACAAACAACTGGAAGTTAGCACTGTAAGCTTCCTGTCTGCTGTGAGACACTTGCAACCATGGAATGAAGTGACACATCAGTCATCACTTCACATATGATTATTATTCCCTTAAATAACAGTTTCATTATGCTTAACTTAGCTAACATTAAGGAATGGACTTCATCAACTCACTCCTGTGGAATTGGTGTCAAATTCCATGTAGAAATTCCAAGTGGTAACTACATTTTAATAAAAAAAATTAAATAAATTTCACTTGCAAAATCATTACAATTTTTTGGTTTGTTTTTTATTTTAAATTTTTATTTTTCTCTCATACAATACATCCTGACTGCAGCTTCCCCTCCCTTCACTCCTCCCAATGTCCCACCACTCTTTTCCCCCCAGATACACTCCCACATGGTCTCCCCCAACAAAAGAGCAAGATTCCCGTCCATGGCCTAACGAGATAGCGTAAGACCGGGCACAAACCCTCACATAAAGGAAGGGTAAGGCAACCCAGTAGGAGGAAAGGGTCCCCCAAACAGGTAAAAGAGTCAGAAACACTCCCACTCCCACTGTCAGGAGTCCCCCTTAAAACACCGACCCATAGTAACTTTATTTATTATTTTTATTTTTATTATTAAGAAATTTTCTATTCATTTTACATACCAACTACAGATTCCTTCTCTCCTCCTTCCTCCCAATCCCCAGCCTCCCCCTC